TATTCTCTTATGACGGTATGCGCCCTTGTGACAGCGTAAATGTGGATCAAGGTGGCTTTATGTGTGCCGATTATCAATTGTGAGGGTCGCTCATGTTATGATCCCCAGTCACCTCTAGTGGCTGCCTAATTCTGATTGTATCGTCATCTGATACTGTCGCGGCTTGTTGATATGCTTTCGGCGATACACAACCAACTTCCTGCCTGTATTTACTTATCTATCTAGCCAGATACTTCCGTAAACGTCAGATCCCATCGAAACACTGATGAGCTGGTGTTTATATTTGCATTTCATTCTGTTTCGACTAAGCCTCATCACCCAGTAAACAAACCTATTGCTTCAATGTGCTCAACATCCCAGCTGGCGACGACATCTTTGTGGCAGATTCTTCCTGAAAATATGCCACTCGAAGAACAAAGTGAACTTACATATGCAAGGTGCAAGTCTATGGAGTAACATTTCAGTAAGTATCAATACTCCCGATCAATCTTTGAACGTACTCATTACCACGAAAAGATTTAACGGCTGACAATATCCTGAACCTTACACCCAGGTATTGGGAGCTCGTTAACAAATCTTTGCCATGGATGTCTCTGTTGTGACAATCTTGGCCTTGACACATTGCTGATGTATTTAGATCATTGTCCAGACCTCAAGGAAACCTTCGATCGGCTGCGTTTCGAATGGACGGACGTCTGATGTTCCCAATGGCGGGTTCTCTTTCTAGTCCTCGTCTCTCAGCGGGCAGTATTGTCTTACGGAACTCGGGCACGTTCTTAAGATGGAGACCACAGTCAAAGAACATTTTGAATTCTGCAGATGCGACGGTAGACTTATTTCATCCTCGCAGGCCTTCGTCTCCTCGTCACTGCGATTTTACCAGACGAAGCGTCAAATTTACTTTTCAACCGTGCCATACATTTTCCGAGGAGCGCATGCTTCGAGATGCTCTTAAGTTTCCAATAATGAAGCTCACCCATACATCCTGTTATTCATGGTGAGCATTATCTTTATGCTATAGACTTAGATCCTCTTTCTGCCACTCACTCGTCCTATGAATGCGCCTCCGCCGTTACGATGGGATCTAGATGTCACGACGCAGGAAGGCTACGAGAAGTTCACGCCAATCAAGCAGATCGTTCGGGAGCTTTGATCCTGTGTATGTAAATCATGTAACTTTCAATTGTGACCTTGTGCTACCCGATTTCTTCTCATATTGTCCTTACAGAAGAGAAAGAAATTTTCATGAGTGGCTCGAAATTTGCGAAGATCGTTGTGCCAAGGAAGGGGTGATACATAGTGCATCTGTCTGAGCACGTGTGTATTGGGTTCGACTCCTACCCAGATACGGGGACTCCTGGTTCATTTTTTGTCTTCGATACGATACAGGGAGTATCTTAAAATTGTTCCATCGCTCTCTTCAGTACCGGGAAAATGAGCACGAGACGAAGAACGACAATTTAATGTCTAAAATCGAAATGAATTTCCATTTGCAAGGAACAAGCCTCACATCATCGCGTATACTAGCCAAATACGAATAATCCAGCATCGCCTTGGAAGTTGTCTGTAGCGCAGTTGTAAGCGATCCGGTTACAGTATGAGAATGAAAACGCGCACCTTGATGGCCCTCGGCATGAAATGCACGCGTCTACGCCGCAGCATCGACATTAAGGCGAAAAGAAAACTGATGGATGACAGTGACGATTGGCCGAATTTGAGGTCACCGGACCGGCCAATCCTTTCGGGCGCGGCATTGTCCGTATCCTTTCCACAAGAATACACCATGCAGGTACGTATTCAATGCGTTTTCGTGCTTTCGATAAGTATTTGAAGGGTATACTGCAGAAACTTCTGGTGTTGTATGTCTGGATCCTTTGCGATGGACGTGTGAAGCGAGGTTGATGCTGCGCCACAGGATTAGACACTAGGTCCGTCGCGGAGCTCGACTTGACCAGCTGGTAGCCGTTTGGGAATACGAGCAAAAGAGAAGACCATGAAGACCAACTCTTGGCGAAAGCGGGGAAGGAGGACGGTCCTATTCATATACGCGTGGTGGGCCAATCGAGGAGATAACACGATTGCAGAGAAACTTTGTTGTACATGCGCCAGGTAGTGATTTATGCCAACCTAAGAGATAAAGCTCAGCCTGGGCAATTAGTCTTAAATGGAGAAGGATGCAACTTGGTCGTGGTTTGCCAGACGTCTGAGAAGAAAACAAAGGCTCGCCTTCAGGGCTGGTCATTTCAAATTAGTACAACCACCACACCAACTTGCCAGCTTCCAAGCCAGCTTCCAATGAACTCACCCCACGGCATCGAGGACTGGGAGGCACCAGTATCGGAGGTCCGAGATTGGACATATACCCTAGCGAGTACGATCGCATATACCGAGGAGTCGTCACTGATGGCCACATTGCCGATAGGCACTTTCGGCCTCGAGAATGTTGTAGCGTGGAGGGATAGGGCATTGGCGACTCCTCGGAGTGAGAGAGCTGTAATGCTGCTTACCTGTGAGGGAGAGATTTTGGTGAGTGCGTTGTTCTTGTACCGAAACTGGAGAGCTCATCGGTGGTAGAGGAATCATATGAAAGTCACCGAGCAAGTTACGGCCTGGAGGAGCAATATTGATGTCATACCGAACCATGCGCCACCTATACATCCCTTCGATTCCCATCGACGTCTGCTCTCCATTCTGAACGACGACCCCTACGTTCCCGGCGAGGTCCCAGATGATACGCCAACACTCAATGCTCGTGAGTGGGACAGGTGGTTCCTTCTGACACTCCTCGGCAAGCAACGCTATGACGACAGGAAGGCGTCCGAGGAACGAGAGGTATTCTGGCGCGCCATACAGCATGACCTACTCACCGATCCCAACGACTGGCTGGACTTCATGCGTGGCAAGAGGGACGATGAGACCCAGCACCATCGCGCCGGTCGCGATGAACGAACAGATGAGATATATAACAATATGACATCGGTTAGTCCATCGGCATTGGCGACGACGATGCCAGACCACTCATACCATCCGCCGATGCCTCGCCACCAGCAAGAGGCACACCAAACAACATATCCAGCCTCACCGCCTCCGTCTCTCGCCTTGGATGATGGATATCCGGCTCGATCCTCCAGTTGATAGGCTTGGTCGTTCAGGCTGCGTAATACCTATCTACAGAGGAGAGGAAGGTTTGGGAAAGCACGCGGCGAGGCAGAAGATGTAGCTATAATTTTTATTCAGTTTCTTAAAGCAATGATATCGGTGACGAACAGACGCTTTTGACAGTTTCCTAGGACCATGAGCACAACATCTTCACAGCGGTAGGTATCGGGTAGGCGCACCAAGAGCAATATGCGGTCCTTTCCAGCGGTAGCGGGAAGACAGGGTAACGCTCTTTGAGCTCGTTCTCGACAGATCGTAAGAGTCGCCAGCAGCCAGTTCTGCTGTCGTGGTGGAAGGAAGGGAAGAAGGAAGAATGATGGTCTGCCGTCCCGTCACAGTCACGGCCTTCCTTCCTCCCCACGTCCGTGAATAATCCCGTCCCGCTCAGCATTATCAATGTTTCCTGTAGTGCTTCCCTTTCAGACAATGGATGCTGTCCAAAGCGCTGAAGATAAGGAATGGTGCGCTTTGTGCTACATACTGGCGTCGCTTTGTTGTTGACCGGCGAGAACATTCTGGCTTCTGTAGATCTGGCTCTTTTGCCTCTTCTCCACTAGTCCTTTATATGTTGGCGATAATACAAAGCACAATTTTTTTGGCTGGGGTGACAATGATATTGCCGTTAACTGGTGGAAAGAAAAAACTCGGTACGTCGTCGTGCAATCACCATCACCATCCTCTTAAAGCTGTCTTCAGGTATTGCTTTTGGTCGGAAAAGGATGAGTTGCTACTGGACAGTCCTCCATATATGCTCCACGACGACGGACCGTCCTAGCGACAGTTGCCGGAGGCGTCGATGGAGTCATACGAAGACATCCAGCTCTCCTAGGATTCAGTGACACGTCTCCCAAAATTCTACCCTTCGTATATGCGCTTTGTCCCACCTCGCAATGTCCTGGACTCCAAAAGACGAAGGTAGAGCCCCAGTAACTAAGAAGATTTAACGTCGAGCGACTTCTCGGTGCGCCATTCATAAAATATATACCAATAGAAATAAATGCAACTGCAGTTGCAAGCCTGAAAAGAATGCCAAATTTAAAGGTTCTATAGGTTCTTTACTACGTTGTACGAACAGAAGTTGACTCATTCTTTGATAACGAGTGTAAGTCTTCTTTGTTTGCTCTGACCGCTCTCATAAGGACAAGATTGTCTGGGGCAAGATTTGGACTGACGTTTCGGATTTCGTCTGCGGTTGCTTTGGTGAATGAGGTGGGAGCTAGCCCTTATGCGTGGTGGCTAGCCAATTCTGAATAATGTTGTCGTAATGCGTGAACTGGAGTCTTTAATAATTGGTTCCATTGGCCTGCGTTAATGCATGAATAAACTGAGATACAGCGGCATCTTCCATTCCCCTAGACTGACTATGTGAATCTGTGTACTGCTACTACTCTTACAGATCTAAGGTTCTGAATAAATAGCATAGTAAATTGCCCTAGACCGATGTCAAAACCGTTCAGCGCCCTCCAGTCTTAACTCTGTGTACTCTCCTCCAAGCCCTCCTCCAAGTCCGGTCTTATGCACCGAGATGTGTCTCATCCAGATTCACTCATTGGGCCGTCATCCTGCGAACTCCAGTGATTTTGGAGTGGAAGCGACGACGCCGTGGCGCTTAACTATCACTGCAGAGTAGAGAGAAGCCGATTCTACAAGCATCTCTATCACTCTGTGATACACACCCATCCCTGCAGACACACCGCCTACTTTCAGAATACGATAAATGATGAGAATCATGCACCACAGCAGGGTGGCTTGTATGAGCGAGGAGTATAGGACCGCCCAGTTCACAACATTCACAATATTTAGGGCCTGGGGTGGAATATTTTCGACAGGCCCAAAGACGGAGTCATAAGTCACAATTCCTCTACTTACTGAGGTAAATAACAAGTTGGTCTTGGTCAGTTCCGAGATCACGAAGGTGGTGCAGACAATCGGAATGAGCACAGCGCGCCGTGACCGACCCCAGACGATCCAGCAGCGCCATATCTACCAAGTCACAAGCCAGGATCCCGAAAATACAAATCTTAATCCCCGCACCAAGGTAGCATCAGCAAGAATCGTGCTCAGAATTGCACTGAACCCCAGGGTTGCCAGGAGTGGAATCCCCACAGGATCGCTAGATTCGTATGCCATCTAAAAGCTGTCCCCATTCGCGACAAATTCTGTGATATCATTTGTCTATTCGCTCTGACGTCTCCAGAAGATACAAAACCAGGATGACAAAAACAAGAAAATATGGCCTTCTGTTCTGGCACGTTTTTCGACTCGAAGCTAGGTAGGCCAGCCGTCAGATATATGCACGTCAAAAGAAGTAAGATGCGGAGACCAATAGCCCATAAGGCGACAGCAACTACTCCGGTGTAGAATCCTTCAGAAATATTTCGTTAACTCGCATTTCCTCGGAGGGTGTGAATTGAATTTCTCTTACCATGCGTCAATCCACAGACCAATCCCTCGTCGAATTGGGTGTCTAGAAAGAGGAATATTTCTTTGATCTGGCTGTCGGTTAGTTCTGGGATAGCAGTACCCGGATATGTTGCCGCATTCATGACGATACACCTGAAGACAAACGAAGGAGGGACATTGATTCTTGTTGCTGAGTGACCAGTTCATTATATAGTAGTCCGTAAGATCAAATCCGTGATGATGCAAGGCGCAGCCTATGCATCGACCATACAGAATGGCACTTGGATTCGAAAAATTAATTTTGGTGACTTTGATGGATTGTAGGAAGGCTGGAGAAACATGGAACGCTCCAGAAAAGATAAAACGGACATCTATCTGGCTATGATAGTGGAGAAGGCTACAATGTAGTAGACCGAAACATGCTTCTTGAGGCATTGCGGTACTGAACTGGTTCAGAAGGACTAAGTACCCGGTCATGAAAATAGATGAATGGCAGTACTCAAAATTATTTCCCGACAACTTGAACATCGCCTTGGACTCATAAGACTAGGCCAACACCATTCATTGTTTTTTTTAAGCCGTCAACCAAAAGCAGCTTCCTCATTATCTTGAATAGGTGAACGTGCGCTCATTTTCCAGTGAGAGCATGATCAAAATGTGCTTCTTATGACCTTTGCTACTTTAGTTGATGTCTATAGCATTGGCCTTGCGCAAAGTGGTGGCGATCCGGTGTTGCTGAGTGCGAGAGGGAAGTCGATTTTCAGATGGAGGCTTCGTTCCGTCTGCCATAATGACGCCATCCGGGCATCGGCATTCGTCCATTAGCGATACGGAATCGTTCGCCGTGTTTTGACAGGGACTGTCAGCCTTCATGAAGACCGTAGCCCACTACTACAACATCCTGGCTTTTGATATCATGCATTGCATGTAAGGACGGAAGAGGACCTCATTGTTCTCGGCGAGATGGAATAGTATGCAGCTCTTAACGAGTTATTTGAGCGGTCGGGTGGGAACATACTGGCAGCCGTTGATCTTTATGGTGGAGTGATAGATCATCACAACTTGAGCTTGAACCTAGTACTAGACGTTCCGGTACGAAGAGCTATAATACACCTAATCATCGACCCAATCATCCTCAGGGTCATTTCCCAGGCCGTGACGTCACTCGAAGAGGGTGCAGATGAATTGTTCCATCGCTTCCTCCAGGGTATAGACTAAAGGAAAAGCCCTTTGTCAATGAACGGTCGAAGAGGATCGGATGCAGACACATACCTTGGCAAGAGTTATTTGATCCAAGCAAAGGTCCTTGCGGTCTGCGTATGTAATAAGTTACAAGAAAACCTAAACCGTATAGAAGATGCGCGTACCGATCTCATAGGCCACCTTGTCGACATACCCACATGAGAGTGGGTCGCTCTTTCCAGGCTTCCAGACTTCCAGTCATACCTGTCCACAGACACAGGCTCCCAGGTGTACGTACTTGTTGTAGGGCCATTGGGACGGGCATTCGAATCCACAGACGGGTAGTTCGAAGCTGATCATGATCGGAAGAAGTGTAGAGAAAGACGGTAAATGTACGTCACCCAGGCAAGGACAATACTCTGGGACTTTCGTTGGACAGCGCTTGTCCGTTCCTGGCCAAGTCCACAATGGCTTCCAGGGAACGTGGGAACCAGAGAAGTCCTCGCCTTGGATGGTAATTCTGCTTCTGGGAGGCGGGCGTTGATGGTGCCAGAAAAACCGTGAACGAGGAGAGCGGCGAGAAGGACGAGGGTGGGGAGTGGGAAACGCGTGTTAAGTGAGGATCAGTCGTGATAGAAAACGCATATAAGCGCATAGTTGCGGATTCGAAGAAAAGAGGCTCTAGACGGTGTCAGGAAGGCTGCACAATAAAGGACCTGGCAGAACGTACCTTTCTATCGTCAAACTCTCCATCACCTCTTTTCTCTAGCATCACGAAATGGTATTGAGAGTTATTTGTGAAGTAAACCGACGAGCTTAGAGAACAAAAGCTCATCCATATTGGTTGTACGAGCATAGTGTGACCGGTCCGGTGTAGCTCTCATCAGTGGTCGGACGAGTACATCCTTGCAAGGCTAACGACTTCTGGAAACATGATTCAGTCTCGCAATATGATAAGACTGCGCCTAGAACATACAGAAGATCATCGATGCATCCCTCAGCATCCTTTGGAATCCAGAGAGTTGTCGGAGACTTTGGTTGCGCCAGAGAACAGAATATGGCTCATAAAAAAAATAATTCTGTAGTTCCCTTGCTCAGTACAGAAAGCAACGAGAAAGGATTAGTAGACGCACGGTAGTTCCCTACCACCTTTCTTCTTCAAGATCAAGCCCGTGCACAAGCTGGAAAGGGGAGCCCTGTCAGAAGAGCAGAAGAAACAGCTTTGTAGAAGGAGCATCGAGGAATCATGGATGTTGACGGTCGACGGCAAAGAGGTTGTTTACGTGATGGCTGTCCTTCCCGCACTTTCCCGTCATTCCCGTCATTCCTTCCTTCCACTACCACACCTGCTGGAGATGATGTCCTCTGTCTCATTATGGCAACTCTCTGCGTCGTCATCTGCTCTTCGATGGGAAATTACATAGCCACCTACGAAAGGACCGCCCAGTGCATCGATCCTGTCATCTCTGCTCGTCGATATCGCTGATACAAAACCTACCATGGGGTTTTTCTTGGAATACTTACAGGTTTGCGAGAATAAGTGAGTAGGAAATATGTTCTCATTCTGAAAAAAATATTGAATGAGACTTGTAGATAGGGCTTGACGTCGCTACCACGATACGAAGATAAGGGGTGCCTCTCCGTTGCTGCTGAGCCAGCTTGGTGATGTAGTCGCAATGACGGGTCTCGGGTTGTGGAATAGTGGAGAGATCTCTGGAGGAACGATCCACCACGCGAGCTCCTGCTGAGGGTACGAGGGACCTGTCATCGCTGGCGTTGAACCCGATGGGCCGCTCGATGACATATCTATGAATATGCTGTTTGGGTGTTCATCGCGAACAGCGTCACGATGATGGGTCTTGTCGGCTTTGTTTTTGAGTATAATCCATGCATCGAACCCCACGGGGTCGGTGAGCGGTACATGGCGCGGGGAGCGTTCGCGCTCGTATAGCCACTGTGGATGCTGGCCCTTGTCGTCGACTCTCTCTCGTTGAAATAGAGAGATGATCCAGGCGTCGAAGGCAGCGGGGTCAGTTGGCGGCACATCGCGAAGCGTCTCGTTCAAGGTGCCCAACTTTCTTCACTGCTCTCGAGGTGCAGGGGAAAGAGGGTATTCGTATGGAGAGGTGCATATAGATCGACGCCACGTTTCTTTGACTGTAGACGCCCTACACTTGTCTCTCTACAAGCATTCTCGTCGAAATTGACTGGCGGCCTTGGCTCCGTTTCTAACAAGTACGACTGGCAAAACCTCTGCACCGACGCTGCGGTCCAGTAAATACCTCGCGGTACCGTTCGGGTGGCCGCAACAGATTCTACACTGAAAGACAAGGCACCGAAAGCTTCTCCAAACGTCATCCTCGATTCCGAGCGCATGTACAAGCAATCCATGTCTGACACCCATCGACTCACTCGGCGCGGAAGAATAGACTCGAGGTCGTCACAATACTAATCCCTCCCGCCCATTTTTTGTAATAGAGCTATGCTAAACAAATACACCGTGCTCTCTTATCTTTCTTCGCTTCGTCGGGCGTTCAGAAGTTCGGGCCCTATTACTCCTTCGGAGCGACGGGCTCGTATATCATCGAAGCCACGACAGCCCTTACCCCCCGAGAAGGCCCTGCTGCTGACAGACTTGCGCTGTGGTCTGGTAGGGGCACCGATGGCGGAGCATCGTATCAGTCCATTGCGCAGTCGGTCCGGAGAGGTAAGCATTGAGCTTCTTTTGACACAAGACTGATTGTGTCTTTCGGTGAATATGGCGGACCGACAAGTCAGTGGTGTGCGCTTGCTAATGTGTATACTGGTATATGTCATGTTCGATAAAGGGTGGAGAGGATATATTTGATGGTGGACCAAGCCAACAGAGCGGCGATTCCGTCCCTGTTGACGCGAATACCCCTGCAATGATCAACTGTGAGTGGCAAGAGCGCGTAGCAGCGTGGGGAAGACTGACTCGGTTGTGCAGATAAATATGACGAGAGTACTGAATCGTACACACAAAAAAAACGATAGTCGACGGAGAAGTCATCTCGACTACTACTACTTGTTCGTCATCTTCTTTGACCCTCTTTATCCTTATATTGATTGCCCATCTCTACGGCTGACGGAAAGGCCATCGGATGGATACGCTAGCTCCATCTCTCCAGGGTCGTGTACTGACCAGCCTGGTGCTCTACGGAACCGCTGTCGAATGCCAAGACGACGCTTGCAACAGCACCTCTACTGGCAACCACAGTTCCTATCTTCTTTTCTTCTCGGCATGCTGACAATGACTTCTTATCGTACACGAACACGACTAGAAGCAGATTCCTCGTTTGGTAGCACTCTTTCTGTAAATCTCGTTACTGCGACTGAGTTGACCTCGGACGACAACGCTACTCCGCTCGTGTTGATCCCGGAGTGTAGCAGTAGAAGAATTAGATTTTTATCTTGGCTTTTGTACAATAGAAGTAAGGTTATTCATTTCATGTACTTGAACCACATTTTTTAAGGGACTCATGCTGCTGTGTGGTTTAGCGGTGAGAGCGCCCACTATTCCCGGTTCGAGACCTGGAGGTAGCCTGTGCATACAGGATTTTGGTGTATATTTAGTTTTGCCTTGAACATAGGGAGTGCTGTTCGCGCTCGTTATGACGGCCTTCAGGCTATGCTCGCGGTATCCAACTGTATGGCAAAAATTAAAATCGAATAAATCTCGATGCTGCGCCGACCTTGGATATAAACATGTTGAGTGCTATGATGACCTCGTCGCAATGTAAAATCAAAAGGTCAGCGGTTAGTTATCCACAATTCTGGGTTCGAGTCCCAGTGGCAACATAATATATCATGAGCGTTGGTTTTCCTGTAGAACCACGCCAGGGTTGCGCACGAATCCTCCACAGGGGGGTTAGGTTACAATTTTATGCCGGCCCCTCCCCGTAGGGGGGTGTTTTCATACGGTAATTTACCGTTCCCTTGCGTGCATGACCGATGCGCAGATCCTTTTCAAAGATCTTTGTTTTCGTGTTTTTACACATTATTAGACTAGAACTTGCTGAGGAACATAACATCTATATGCTTTTGCCTTGCATATGGTGCTACACTTATAGCAAATTATATAATCACTACTTACCGGTCCGAAACCCGGGTGTATCAATCGTGCGCAACGCTCGTGCGGTGTGCCACCAGCCACCATATAGTACAAACTAGGGAAGGAAGTTGTATATTTTCGCCTGTTCACGCTGGTTATGACCTGTCGCTGTGGTCTTCGCGAGCCCTCTCGGCATTCATATCAGCTAATCGTATTAGAACATCGACGTTGCACCGGACTCTGAAAAGACATGTTGAACAATATGCAAAACAAATACCGAACAACAGTCACAATACATTGCGAGATCAAATGTAAAGCAATCGATACGTCATTTATTCATTGTCAGTATGGTATGTAGCCACAGAAATGGGGGACCATTTTGGTCAACCCTTCTTTGTTGACGCCAGTTGAATGGACGCTCGACACGATAAAAAGAAAGCTAATCTACGGATGTTGAACCCTTGGGGAAAGACCTACGGGTCTACCAAATCCTGGTCTCCAACAACAGGTCGTTGCCGCCCTCCAAGCCAATGCAGGCCTTAAGGAACGAATCAAGCGCGTTGCGCTGCCTGTTGAGACTGTTGACGACCTCGGTGCCTGCAGAAAACTGGATTAGCTGTGTTTGAAATGGACAGGGAAGGCAAAACCTACCGGGCTTGACGAGCGGCGCCTTGAGCATGTACGAGAGCAAGGAGAGAACGCTGTAGAGAGGCTGGAACTCGCCAGTCTCGGCCTTGCGGTACTTGATGCGAGTGAGGAGCTCCGTTAGGATAGTCAAGTCGAGGATCAAAGGCGTCGCAAGGAGAGAATCCTGGGAAACAAGTTAGAGAGTAAAAGAGAAGGAAGGGCCTGCATGCACGGCTTACCTCGCATTCATTGAAGATATTGATAGTCGACCGACCACCACAGAAGATCTCAGAGTAGTACTCGTCGATGGCCCTCTTTGAGTCACCAACAGCAGGAACATACTTGATAACCACGACATGGTCGGGGTGCTCGCCTTTGCCCTCGGAACCAGGCTCGGGAGCCTTGAACAACAGCCTGTTCGCGTTGACCATGTCGTCCACGACGCTACTCTTGCTGATCTCCTTGCTCCTGAACTGCCTCTCCGCAGAAAGGTTGTGGCCATCGTTGTTACCGAGATGGTTGTACGACGCGATGGACAACGGCTTGATACCAGCGTTGACGAGGAACTCGGCCAAGACGGACTTGAGCTTGGTCTGGCCCGACTTGAGGTCGTCACCACCGATGAACGACTTCTCACGTTCGGCGAGCTCGATGATACCCGGAACGAAGGTATTCTGGGGAGCGCCGTTGACGAACGGTTCGCCTTCGAGGATCGCAGCTACGGCGAAAAGGGAAGACGGGGAAACCTCCGAGTGGGAGGTCTTGATGGCGTTCAGGATATTGTCGGCGGTGTCGTTGACTCCGGGAATGAGGTCGCTGTAGCGTTCGGTGTTGGCAGTCCAGAAGACGACGACGCGGTCAAGGTTGTTGTCTTTCTTGAACTTGCGAATGTCAGCTCGGATATGCTCGAGATGAGCTTGCTTGTCGGAGCCCGGGATGAGGTTGTCCGCGCGGGTCTCTTGGTTCGCAGCGATGAAATCAGGATAGTAGATGGATGGTAAGGGCTTCATTCGAGCCATATGGGGAGCAACCTGGCGCTGGAGGTCGTAGTCGAGAACACGAGCGCGTTCCATCGCCTTATCCAAAGATAAGCTAGAGATGTCCCAACCACCGAGAACGATGTCATTTGGATGCACCATGGGCAACACATCGGACACTGGGACGTGGATGTCCTTGCCAGTGGCGGTCTCGGTGCCGATGCGAACGGTGGAAGCACGGAGAAGGGAACCAATGTAGTTGGGCTGTTGGACGCCCGACTTGGTATGCCAGATGATGTTGTGACGGTTGGCAAGAATGGTCGCACAGAGAGTGGTACCATTGTTCCCCGCGAGACCGATCATCATTAGACTGAAAATGATGCATCAGAAATGTACGAGAGTAAACAGCGACAAATGTAACGTACCCAGTCTTGGAAACTTGGCGCTTGGTCTGGAACTCGAACAACTCGACGGTCGGGTTTACGATATACTGTCCATTAGCAACGGTGATATTGGCGTTACGGTTGTTAAATTTCGCAGTGATATACTCGTCGGTGAATGACGTATTTTCGGACTGCACGACGATGGCGTGAGGGCGACGCGCAGCGGTAGGGTGAACAGGCAGAACACCCTCCAGTTCAGATTCAGGCGTGGTGTATCCAGAATCGTTGGGAGCCATTGTGGATAGATATAGATGGAGATGCGAAATAGAAGGACAGGAAAGGACTTAGAATCGTATGAGAAACCCGGCCGTCGTGTGTTTCAAGCCGCGATGAGAGTTGTGGGTGCTGCAGAGCTGGTTAGAGTACATGCACAAATGCAGTGACTCTGTAAAAATGAGATTTTCTGCTAGAGGAGACGGGGAAGCAGACGATGAAGGTACTGCTTCAGAAAGGCAAGGCTTTTATAGCTTTCGAGACGCTTGGCTGACGTGACGTGCGTGGTAAGGAGCAAGCGACGTTGGCAGGGATACCTGAAATTTATCGAATTTGTTCAAAGTCCGCCATGTACTGCCGGCGGCGGATATTAGTCGTACGATGTGTGCCGTAAGCAGCCACTTCCGCCGGCCTTCCGGTCCGACTCCTTTCCGTCTATCGCGTCCTGCCTCGTTGTATTTTGCATCCTGGACATCGAGACGACAGTGGACGCTTTTTAAAGGTAGAAACAGCTCGCAACATTCAAGTTTGTATCAGATTTATCTCTCACTACACAGTTCAATATTGGTCTTTATCCTTCTGATCCGCGAGGTCTCCTTGAGGCTCAAGCTCTGCCGACATCTTACAAGTAATGATGGCCATGAGGCAAACGATAAGTCGATGATACCCCAACGCCGCCCTTCGATCACCACGGTTTTTGATATTGGGGGTGGCAGAAAGTTAAATGAATCACGCCGCCATCTCACAATTGGTATGGTCGACGTCCGGTAGTAGCGAATTTCTTATCTGCTGGACTAGCAAGTTCCGGTCTCAGGTTCATTGGCTGTTTGCGGAGAATACCCAGGCCCTGAGCCTATAGAAAAGCCTTATCTTTCTTTTGGTGCCGAAGCGGCAAAGGCTGAATTGAAGGACATTTACTCTTGACCGGGCCTACAATATCCCGCAAATGACCGAAAGGAGAGTAGCCCGGCGCGATCTACGGCAAATGAGAGGTATCACGGGGCATTATGGGTCCAAGTGGATCCAACGTTCGGACCGAAACTCGCGATGTCATTCTTCCGTTTTTTTT